GCAAATAAAAGCAAAATAACTTTCAAACATTTTTCTGGCTCCTGCAAACTCCCTACAGAGTCCATAGCCCAGGTGTGATTATGAATTGGAAATCTACTAAACAATTTCCTTCCATTTTAATTTTTAAGATTACATTTTCTTGTTCTAAAGCTGCATTTAGTCTTTAAAAATATATATAAATTCATATAGTTGTTTGATTTTAAGACATATAAATTTAAAAGATATATTTCTATACCTCAAAAGTAGAATGACAGGGGAAGAGAGAGGATCCTTGGCCTCCTGATTCACTCCCAGATGGATGGGCCAGGTAAAGCAATGAGCCTAGATTGTATCCAGGTATTCCATATGAGTGCGAGGGGCCCAAGAATTTGGCTCATTGTCCACAGCTTTCTCAGACACATTAAGATCCATAGAGTTAGATCTTAAGTTGAACAGCCAAGACTTACAATGTCCCTAGGATATGGGATGCTGGTATTTCAAGTGATTGAGTAAACTACTATGCCACAACACCAGCCCCAGAAGTGCTTCTTTAAAGGAAAATATTCATAGCTCTTGGTAATAATGAAGAGGGCATACTCAGAATGTCGTAATTTAGATCCTCTCTAAAGGAATATCTTAAAAATAATGGTTAGAGGCTGGTGTTGCAGTGAAGCAAGTTAAGATGCAGCTTGTGACAGAGCATATCCCCATTTCAATGCTGACTTGAATACTGGACACTGCTTTTGATCTGCTTCCTTGCTAATGCACCTAGGAAGGAGTGGAAGATGGCCTAAACATATGAGGCTTAGATGGAATTCCTGGCTGCTGGCTTCAGTCTGGCCCAACCTTGGTTGTCCTGGCTATTAGTGGAAGGAAAATGCAGCCCCCATTCAGTATTTCTTTTGGAAATTAAGTACAACAAATAGCTGAGTTTTTACATAAATATTTCTTCCATACAAGGAGATTATTTTCTAAATAATCCTCCTCTAAGTTAAATAAAGGAAAAGTTATGACTAGGAGGTTTGGCTCAGTAGCTAAATCCTTGCTTTGCAAGCACCAGGATCCCAAGGGCACCAGTTCATGTCCCAGCTGCTCCACTTCCCATCCAGCTCCCTGCTTGTGGCCTGGGTAAGCAGTAGAGGATGGCCCAAAGCCTTGAGTCCCTGTATCCATGTGGAAAACACGGAAAAAGCTTCTGCTTCCTGGCTTCGGATCGGCTCAGCTCCAGTTGTTGTGGTCACTTGGGGAATGAACTAGTGGACAGATCTTTCTCTCTGTCTCTTCTTCTCCATGTAAATCTGCCTTTCCAATAAAAATAAACACATTTTTAAAAACAAAAAGGAAAAGAATTATGGGGTGCATTGTGGTGTAGTGAATAAAACCAGTCTTTAGAACAGTGAATCAGAGGCTAGAAGATCTCTCTCTCCGACTCTCCTCTGAATCTGCTACACACACACACACACACACACACACACACACACACACACACACATATATATAGAGAGAGACACACACACACACACATATATACACACACACATACATACATACATAGATATATAAATCATTATATATAACATATTATATATAATATATAAATATTTATTAAACATTATATATAACACATCATATATACTAATATTTAATATAATATTCAAGGTTGCTTCAGCCAAGGTTATATGTTTTCACGGGCAATGTGCAACCACTGTCTGACTGATGCAGGTATCAGCCAACTGGCGACAACCTGGAAGCACGATGTTAGTTCCAAAGCCCTGCACAGGACTGGCAAAGGCTGTCACTCTACTGCCTGACCCCTTTTCTCATCTAGCATACAACCTTCTCCCTTAACATGTTGCTCCTCTACTCCACAAACACTGATAGCAACAACATTTCTAATAAGCATCTGGCACACTCAACTCCCCCTGCTTCCCAGAGATCCAATCTGTATAAATAACCTCAGCTTTTCTCAGAAGAATGTTATTAGTCAGCTTCTGTTTGGTTTCTCTGCCACTGAGGTTCACACACATTCCTTAGTCAGAGGAGCAAACCTTGTATCTGTGAGGCCAGATTTTGCTTTGGGAACAAATGCCTGCACATTCTGAGCAGTGTAATAACACAATTAGTGCCTTCTTGCTTACACAGCAAATCTCTTTCAGGTTGGCAAGGGAGGCTCCTTCAAAGCTTGAAGAACCCCCATTTTCACACACACATTTCCAGGCACATCAGAGGAGGATAAAAGTAAGTCATTGTGACCACATCTGAGCTTAAAAGGCTACTAAAGTCTGTGTGTTCCACAGAGAGGGATAATAGAATATGTGTGCACAGTAAGAAATAGCGCTAACACTTGTTCCTTCTGGATACCAAACACTCAGACCCTCATTCACCCACATGTAGAGCCCTGTCATCATTCTCTAAAGAAAACAAATCCCAAATGCTGTTTAGTTCTTTGAGATCAAAGTCAAGGATCTTTGGGTATAAATCCTAGTCTTTACATTAGTGTAAATACTACATTAAGTCTCTATGTAAAGGACAAATGTCATTCTCAAAATCTGAAGATCCAAAAGTTAAAAAGCTAAATTGTCACACAAACACCCAATATACAATTGTGAACCAGAGACAGGGCAATCACCACACTTTCACTCAGGAACTACATAATCTAAGTGGCCTGTTATGATTTTCAGCAAGCAATTATTAAGAAACTAGCAAAGTAAGGGCCGAGCGGCGTGGCCTAGTGGCTAAAGTCCTTGCCTTGAATGCGCCTGGATCCCATATGGGTGCTGGTTCTAATCCCAGCAGCCCTGCTTCCCATCCAGCTCCCTGCTTGTGGCCTGGGAAAGCAGTTGAGGACGGCCCAAAGCTTTGGGACCCTGCACCCATGTGGGATACCCAGAAGAAGTTCCTGGATCCTGGCTTCGGAACAGCATAGCATTGGCCGTTACGCTCACTTGGGAAGTGAATCATCGGACGGAAGATCTTCCTCTCTGTCTCTCCTCCTCTCTGTATATCTGACTTTCCAATAAATAAATAATAAAATCTTTTAAAAAAAAAAGAAACTAGCAATGTAAATAAATAATTATGAGTGTATGTCTTCACAAATACTATTACATCCTAGAAATGCAGAGCAAAATCCACCCAGGTAAACTATAATCTCAAGATTTCTGCATAAACTTAATATTAAAACTTAAGCAAAGAGAACATTATCATTATAGTATATATGATACACACAAATGATCTACTGGCATAAATTCTTTTGAAAACTGATAGATACAATGCTGAGCATAAGCCTCCTGTGGCATGTCAAGATATTTTTGACAGTAAAGCTGAAAACAAATATTGAGAATGTAAAAAGGCAAAGACTGAAGGAAAGTAAGAGAGGAACAATTAGAAGTCTGAAGAGTCTGTCAACAGAGGACAAACTTCTTCTAAGGGCAGATAATGCTATTCACATTTAAACATTATACTTTAAAAGCCACTCATCTAGCACATATTTCTTTAGTGAATATTACTCAGAAATTCATCATTCTTGTTGGATGGTAAAAACAGATTGCAGAAACAATGATGACCAGAGCTAACATGTGCTATTTGGGTGAATATACAAATTATTTAGTTTGCCCAGAGATAAAAGCACATTATTTTCTATGATTTTATTTTTCTTTGTGAAACGAATATAATTAATATAGAGTTGGGAAACATAATTTGAAATAGACAAAATATACTCCTCCTGATGATACCCTATTTTATCTTCTAAGTAAAATCAGTTATTCAATATTAGGGTATTTTTTGCACAGAACAAGTAGTGATCAAGCAAGGCAAATATGAAAGAATATCAATTCTTGAAGAATATTCAATTTTATAAAGATTTGTTCTCTTTCCCCTGAAATAATGTCTGCAGGTTCTTTTCTGACCTCTCCTCTAATAACTGCTGATACTATTTTTAAAAAGCATTTTCAACAAAATGGTAATTCTGAAAATTTATGTGATCAATTCTTCCAGCAAAGATGAAATCTTATAAGGGTATATTATACTTACAATCAACTCCCTGTTTTTAAAGGCGCTGAAATCAAGCCAAAATGGTTGATTGAATCACGAATGAATGAAGGTCCTGCGAGATCAACTGCTGCCTGGTATTAAGGCAATGGGCTCCTAACCACTGGCTTATGCTTACACAGCTAAAACGATTCTAAAAAGCTATAAAATAGGATATCTGTTTTGAGATAAAATGTATTTAAAAATAGGTATGCTTACATTAAAATGCTTTTATTCAAAATGATCAAGAGAAATTAAGCATATCATAATTTATACTTATTGCTCAATCATAGATTTTTCTCAAAATATAACTATGTGGCTTAAAGTATTCCCCTGGTTTAAAAAACACTGCAGACACTTCTCTCATGATTGGAAGCACATTGTGAGAATCTGCTGAACGTATAGAAAATGAGACAGTTCAATGTGATTATAGCCTGGAGAAAAGAGAAAATTGTCTCTAAATATTATTTTACCAGGAATACTTTAGAATCTCATTTTTTAAAAGTGGAAAGTATGACCAAACTTTTTTTTTTTTAGCATTTCTAGGACAAGAACCAATTAGGACCGAAGAACAGTACACATTCTGTTAACAACAACTAATTTCTGGAAAGCAAGTAAAACAGGACTAGATCATTCTTAATATATCACCTAGAGTGTTAGCCTGGAAGGAAGCCAGTAAATTCTATATGAAGTTCAGATGATGTCATAATCCATCTTTTACAAGCATTCAACAAAAAAGCAACATGTTAGATCTTGGGCTAGAACACTGCAAAGGATAAAATAATGCATTCATAAAGCATTATATTCAAGGGCAACTTTTATAAACATAAAAACAATATACCTACCTGCTCAGGGCTTAGAAATATTTGCAAAGGTGTTATTAGTAAATAAAAAATAGAATGAAAAAGTTGTTGGGTAGATTATAGGCTTTTAAAATTGTGTATTTCATATACCATGAATATAAACTGTATGCAGGCCTTCTATGCGATACTCACAGAATGATTGTAAGAAGGTTCCAATATCACAGGTAGTGACATTTTCCCTTGAAGATTCAATTTTGTTAAATAAAAAATCTTTTCCCCCACAATCTTTTCTTTTTTCATGCGATGTACACCATACAGTCTAAACCGAACTGCATAATTTCCAATCATCTCTGATTCAACATGATTAAATTTGAATGTTTCTGTGAAGACAGGGCATGGTCCTCTCTGGATGCTGGTTTTCGCTCTCTGTTTCTTTATAGGTAGAAGAACAAGGTGTACTTGCCATGAGTTGCCACCTGTCCTGTTATATGTTGGGATGTCTGTGACAGCTGTCACTGTTACCAGAAGCTTCTGTTCTTGTGAGTCATAGTCAAAAGTCACATCCAGTGTGCCATATTTAGCTTCTGGCTCAGGATCGAAAGGCTTAGGAAGCTGTGAAGACGATCCTTGAGCTGACAGATCCTAAGAAAAGCAAATTGAAATGTTTCAGTTTTTAACCCCATTATTTAAAATAGCATGTAAATAAATACATGATATTTCATCAGAAGATGTGAAAACAATTTTCATCTGCTGCCACAAAGAAAATAATAAACAATCAATTACAATCAAAAGCTACTCTGTGGAAGCAGAGTACTATGTACATAAGTGTTAGGCTAAGCTAAGAAACTTATAATAAAGACTAACTGGAAATTTAATACGTGCCACTACAAATTTTTGAGAAACTTGGATAAATGTTTTTAATAATAAGAATTTAAAATTCATACTTTAATATGCAAACTTTACCTTCAACGTTAAAAAAATACAACTGACAGTTTAATATGAGGCTAGAGAAAAAAAAGAACAAAAATAAAGTATAGTGCTATTGACAAACATGCTTCCATTTCCAGGGCTTGTTCTACAATAACCACACATCGAATAGATAGTAAACATATATAGGTTTAAAAATCAATGCAAATGTAAAATATCAAAGTCAAAATACAAATGTCTCAAAATACTTGCAGCCACATAACCTTTCTTTTTAATACAGAACATATTTCCTTTAAAATCAGAATTAAAGGTAATATATTATTTCTAATAATAATTACTGAAAACAGCATAATGTGCAGTTAAAAAGTTCAATATCCAGTTGTGAAGATACAATGCAGTATGCATCTCTACTTCCAAATCAAAGATGGAGTCTCAATGAAACTTGGATATACCTTGAAAGTAGGACGCTGGACTGTCTGCCATTGTCTGTACCAGCAATGTCACGACACACTTAAATAAAGACTGAGGGACTTATGATTGCATATGAAGTGCTACTATACTATTGTAATAGTATGGGAGAAATAAGTTGGGGAGAAGGACTATGTGGTGGGGGTAGAGGAAATCCCAGAGCCTATGGAATTATACCATAAAAGTAAAAATAAAATAGAGGGGAAAAAAGGTTCAAGAAAGACTGAAACCATATATACTAACTACATAATTAAAAGACATTTTTTTACCTGTTTTCTAATTGTCTCAATTCCTGTAAGTTTAACTATCTGGGAAAATCGGTTAGTTATTGACAGACCCAAATCTAGACTTCTGAACTTTAAATCACACTATTTTTTTCCCTTCAAACACTCTGATATCCGGTGATTTCCATTTTAAAATGAGGGCCAATTTCATAATTTTCTATTTAACACCCCCTATAGCATTGTTACTACTGACCCTGAGTTTTCCCTCCTTTCATCTACTTGGAAAAATTCTGTGAGGATTAAGTGGGCAACATAGTGCCCACAGGGACCTGTCCATCTGAAGCCCCATTCTGGCTGTGCCCAAGTGACTGACTTTGGCCAAAGGCATCAAACAGGAGTTATGTGTGAGACATCCACATCAGGTTCACACTAAAATCACATGCTCCCTACTATCTTTTGTGCCACTTTTCCTGTAAGCATTTCAGTTTGAACCACATGGACTGGAAACAGCAGAGTAATGAAAGAGAAAAACATTTCCCCTGAAATATGCTGTAAAGCCATCTACTCACACTGGACTGATGTTAAAGGAAAGAGAAAGCAAGTTCTGTGTTTTTAAGGTGAGCATCTTCTTTGCCTTAACAACTGCACCTACTACATGCCAAGCCTTATTTTTTTTAAGGTAGGAAGAATTCTTTATTCTACAGAAACTTACCGGATGTGTGAACTATAGATAGTGAATATGTGACTTGTGAGACAGAAGTAAATGTGTAAGATATATTAAATGCTAATCACAAAGTTAACCTGTAGGACATGGCAAAAACAGGCTAAGCAGGAAATACAATGGAGTAAATGGATGGTGCCTAGAGAAAGAATCAGAAGGCCCAAGCCATGATCACGATGAATCTGTGATGACTGCCTTACCATTCTTTCGTTCTGTTAAGAACTGATGATCACAAGTTAGAGCAGTTCAGCTGACTTAACTGGTAAGTTTCAGGGGTAACCTGGTATGTTTTCCACTATGTCTCTCCCATAAGACACACACATGTGTATTCAAATCTCATTGTTGTCCTGATGATATTGTAAATAGACTAGGGAACAGGATATGCAGGCACTGGGTAAACCATGACTTAGAAAGCATAGTTCAGCCACCTGTACACTTTGACGTACTATGGTAAGGGTGTTAACCTACCTCATCTCATTCCTATAATGTCTGTCTTTGTATTTGAAATAGACTTGCACACACACAATTTGAACACCCTAATTTGGTCTGCGAATCCTCTGGGATGGTTTGCCTGGTGTATACTTGGAGTTTACCTCTGTAACGATGTAATCAAGATGAAGAAGAGCAACTTAATATAGCTGCTACAAATTACTATTAGTTTTTTTGTTTATTTTGTTTTTTGTTTTTTTCAGTTAGACAGACCTTGGTTTGAATTACAGTGCCATTACTTGAGAGTTTCATGTACTTGGGCAAAGTGCGTAACTCCCTGAGTCTGTATATTTTGATTTGTAAAGCTGAAAAAAAAAGCTTCCTAAGTAAGTTGCTGCTGGTATTAAGTAAGCTATTATTAACAGTTGTTAATCCTACAACCCAGGTTTCACTGTTAACTTGTTGGCTATCTAAACAGAGGCTGGTGCAGTTGCATAGCATCCAAAACCTCCAGCTGCAATGCCATCATCCCATAAAGGCACTGATTTGAGTCCTGGCTGCTTCACTCCCAATCCAGCTCCCTGCTAATGACATGGGAAAGTAGCGGAGGATGGCACGAGGTCTTGGAACCCTGAACTTGTGTGGGAGACACAGAAGAAGCTCCTGGCTCCTAACTGGATTTGCCCGGCTCCAGCCACTGGAACCATCTGGGGGAGTGAACCAACAGAGAGAAGAGTTCTCTCTTATGTCTCCTCCTCTCTCTCATAGAAGTCTTTCAAGTAAACTAAACAAATCTTCAAAAAAATTTAAAAAACAGTTTGTAAAACTATAAAAACTATAAAATATCTGATAGAACACTGAGAAACAGTTTTGTGAAAAATCATAAAATACAGACATTTATATTAAAATATTAGTGTAGTCTTTTCTTTAGTTCAGATACCATAAGGTGAGAAATAGAATTCCAGTAATACCATGAAATGTTTTTTAAAATTACATAACAAAAAACCTAAAATTAAGGAAATCCTATTGACAGCTTAATCGTTCTGTGTATTAGGAAACCATGTGTAATATTTACTTGGGAAATTCATCTAGAAAGAACTTATCATTACTTGGAATAAAAGTTGTAGAAATTTACAATCTAAAATATCAAAGGAAACTAAATCCTAAAAATCAATACACCTTAGGGAAGTCTGTAGGTCACCTTTATTGTCTCTGTCAGAGAAATGAAGCAAATCCTCGGTAGAACATGGTAATATTTAGAAACTGAAAAACAACTCATCTTGATGCCATTTGCACCCCCAAAAAGGAACTTAAAACTAACCACTCGGAATGCATGATATAATTAATCCAATTTTCATTAGTTAAATTGACCATTTACTGCTTTCATATCCTATGATACAAAAAAGTAGTAAAATTACTTTCAAAGACTTGTAAAACATTAATGAGGAAACTTCCAAGAGCAAAAATTCACTACAGTAAAAAAGTAACTTCAGTGAAGACATGGAAACGACCCTGATGCCCATCAACAGATGGATAAAGACACTGTGGTGTATCTACTCTATGGAAGACTATTCACCCATAAATAAGAATGAAATTCCAACTGCAAACCAAAAAGCTTAGTGAAATAAGCCAGTCTCAAAGAACAAATATCATATGTTCTCTCTGATATAAGACAGCCTTTATGCAAAGTAGAAAGTAATAGATATAGATCATCAGGTAGAAAAATACATTTTCAGAGATGAAATGTCAAACAGAGGCTAGTATACGAGGGAGCAAGCATACACTGCAACATGTGTTTCTACTCCCAAATAAGAACAGGCCTTCCAGTGAAGCATTTAAATATACCTTACAGTACGTTACTAGATTCACTACCTTTGCCTACATACACGCCATGATACATTTAAACAGCAGAAAGTTAAACTTGTTACTATAACTAAAGGACTATAGCACTATGAGAATTTGGGGGAAAAATGGCAGGAGAGTAAAATAGGAATGGAGGGGGGAACCCTATATCTATAAAACTATATCATGAAAAATAATAACTCAAAAAAGATTTAAAAAAAAGTAACCTTAAGATGAAAGAAAAAGGCAGACAATTCAAGAATACCATCTAGAATGTTTATTATTATTATGTTTTTTATTATTATTATTATTATTATTATTATTATTATTTTAAAGCCCCACTTAGCTTTGCATCTTTCTTTGGTGGGGGAAGAGCTGGAAGACTAGTTGGGACAGCTCTCTTATTGCTAGATCGAGATTAAGAACAAAAACCAGTACCATAAGCCTCCAAGGGACAAAAACAGTGATAAAAATTCCTCTTCTTACCAAGAGAAGTGCAGGACTGTTATCCTTTCCACTCTCTGTGTTCTTTACTTACTTCAGGGCTCAGGACTGCAGTGCTGTCACTTGGAACATCCTCTTCATATCCTTTATTGGGAAAACTTTCTACTTCGTGACCTGTGCTTCCTTCACTTGGACACTTGTGGTATGAACGTCTTGGACTGTTGCTGCAGTGGGAAAATTCACATTTACTGTCTCCGATTTCTGAGGGTGTGCATGAGAGATGGGGAGAACCACTGTCATCATGATATGGTGGTGGCTGCAATTCATCCAAGGGGGGTGTTCTTCTCATTCTCTGTATGCAGTTTCCTGATAATAATTAAGAATCTGGTCACTGTTTCCAATTAGCCTCAACATGCAGTAAGTACAGTAGTCTACAATAATCACAAGTAACTATAAAAACTAGATTAAAAATGTGTTGGGTTTTGTGTGTGTGTCTGTGGTGATGTAACTATTTGATTTCTTGACAAGTTTTTTTCATCCCTAGCTCAGAATATCAGTATTCTCTCCCCCCTAGACAGTAAGATTAGCCATATACCAAGAGAGATGCCGCTGTACACCCAAAAAAGGGAAGCTTATCTATCCGTCTTCTTTCTAACCAATTCTATAGCACCGGCATTTCATCTTTTTTTTGTGATCTGTGGCTTCACTAAGCAAAGCAATAAAAATACGATAGGTAAAGCAACATAACAAATATATCTCTTTACAATTACTAAGATGAACTTAAGTTGGCATTCAGTTTAGCAGTGGCAGAACTGTTTTTTCACTCCTGTCTTGTATCCAGAATCCCAAAATGAGGAGCAGTACAAATTAGAACTCATCTCAGCTGGCCATCATCCACCATCCATCAGTAAATATTAAAAGCCAGACCGTTTCTTTTCGATTACATGGGCCTCCCGATGCCATGCTGCAAGTCTGTGCCTTCTGAGGAATAGCTCAATTGGTTTAGATGAAGCAACTCCAACTCTAGCAGTTAATGTGAAACCCATTTTCTTTCACTCTTAAATGAACTTTTTTTTCATATCTCCATGATCTATTCCAAAGATCATGAATACCCCAGGGGTGGGAGATTTGACAGGGCTCAGGTCACCTGGCCTGGGTTCTGGGGCTTACCTGTGAGGTGAGTGCCAGGCTTATGAGCCTCAGAGGTGGAGAATCTGGCAAGGCTTGGGTTTTCTGACCTAGGTCATGGGGCCCGCCTACTAGGGAGTACTGGGTTCATGAGCCCCAGGGGAGGGAAATCTGGCAATGCTTGGGAAGCCTGGCCTGGGTACTTGGACCCGCCTGCAAGGACATGTCCTACTTAATGAAAAAGGCGGAGCAGTGGACACAGACCCTGTTGTAAAATGGGAATATGGCAGCTCATTTGGTGCTTTAGCAGGAGGAGAACAGAACAAACTGGACAACCACCACAAACAAACGATGACAGAAAAAATTCTTGGTGAATGGAGCCAATAGACACTGCGAGGGTGACATTCTTGAATCAGTGAAAACAGCAGCATTTCATAATTATCCTAACCTAACCACTTGGACACAACCCTCGGAATATGTGCACATTAAGAATCTGGATTGATATGAGGTGGGGGTTCCTTACCCCTGGGTAGTGGGATGTTTAGAAATCATGAGTGGTTTCCCCCTTTGTCTCTCCCCCTCCCCCAGAAACAACAAGAAGAAACAGCAAAACTGCAAGCAATGACTTCACCCAATTTTCCCTAAACCTTGATCCTTCCCACCATGATCAATCATGTAATCATTATTAAAAAATAAAGTTTAACAAAGATTATGAGTAAATACTCTGTGAACAAGGAGATGAGGGGTGTAGAGTATAGTATCCAATTTATGAGTATCTAAGTCTATGTGGATAAATTCTGAATGCAATTATGAGGTATTAAATTTATACACTGTTCATATTTTTTTCTTTTAATGGACTGCATCTTATTTCCCAAAAAGGATTCTGAAGAGGGTAACTTACGTTATAATTGCTACTGAGTTCAATCCAAGTATTCAATAATTTCATTGCTTTTTTTGAAGACAGAAACATTTGAAGCTAATGCCACGGCATGGTGGGTTAATAAGTCTTTGCCTATGGTGCTTAGGACCCATATGGATGTGAGTTCGTGTCCTGGCTCCTCCACTTCTGATTCAGCTTACTGATTATGACCTGGGAAGGCAGTAGAGGATGGATCAAGTCCTTGGGCCTCTGAACCCACATGGGAGAGCCAGAGGAGGCTCGAGGCTCCAGGCTTCGGATCAGCTCAGTTCTGGCTGTTGTGGTCATTCAGAAGAATAAAACAGCAGATGGAGGATCTCTTTTTTCTGTCTCTCCTTTTCTTTGTAGCTCTGCTTTTCAAATAAAAATGGAATAAGGATCTGGCACGATGGCTCAGTGGATAAATCTTCACTTTGCAGCCACTAGGATCCTATATGGATACTGGTTTGTGTCCCAGCTGTTCCACTTCCCTGCTTGTTGCCTGGGTAAACAGTCGAGGATGGGTCAAAGCTTTGGGACCCTGTACTCACAAGGGAGAGCTGGAGGAGGCTTCTGGCTCCTGGCTTTGGATCAGCTCAGCTCCAGCTAGCCACTGAGGTCACTTGGAGAGTGAACCAGCAGATGGATCTCTGTCTCCCCTTCTCTCTAAATCTGATTTGTCTTTCCAATAAAATAAACAAATCTTCAAAAAAAATGGAATGAATCTTCAAAAAAACCCCACCTACATAAAACTACAAACTTCATTCAAAAATTTCCACAATGACTAATTCAAATGAAAAACATCAATTTTCATGAACAAGATTAAATATTTAATCAGAAGCCCTAATTTTGAAAAGAGAAACTAAAGTTCTTACTTTGTAATTTTAATATACTAACTTTATTTTATAAAACATAAACAAAGCGTTATTGAATTAATAGAACTGAAGTTAGACCAGCAGAAATGGATGGCAAGGAATAGCCAAAACACCTACAGAATTCCAGAATAACAAGGAGACAGGTGGCTCCACAAGCCTGTGTGGTTTAGCCCTGTTGCATGGAAGGTAATTGCGTGGCTGGCACAACTGGTAGGCTGGCTGAATCCCATCCATACTTGCTCTATCCCAAGCAGCAGGCTATCTGAGCTGAAGATTTCACAGTGGGGTTTCTAAGAAAACTTTTATTTCACTGACAAAAGCAGTGAGATGTAACTGGCAGGTCCTCTGCCCCTTCCTTCTGATGACAGTTGCAATAGCCACTTCAAGGCCATAAAGTGACAAGCATGAGCATCAAAGTTAAGAATGGAGAAGCAGAAAAAAAGTATCTCAAATGCCGCTAACGAGGGAGATCCACAAGTCCTGATGCTCAAGATAAATTCCTTCTAAACAAAGTGAAACTTAGTTTGATTTTCTATTATTTCCAAATTCATTCCCAGATAATATACTTAGTAAATGACTGAATAACACCCTCTTCTTTAAAAATACTACGTAGGGCCTGGCACTGTGGCCCAGGAGCTAAAGTCCTCACCTTGAATGCGCCGGGATCCAATATGGGCGCTGGTTCTAATCCCAGTGGCCCCACTTCCCATCCAGTTCTCTGCTTGTGGCCTGGGAAAGCAGTTGAGGACGGGCCAAAGCCTAGGGATCCTGCACCCACGAGGGAGACCCGGAAGAGCTCGACTTCAGATCGGAGCAGCACCAGCCATTGCAGTCACTTGGCAAGTAAATCATCGGATGGAAGATTTTCCTCTCTTTCTCTCCTCTTCTCTGTATAACTGATTTTGCAATAAAAATAAAATAAATCTTTTTAAAAAGTACTATGTAATTTGCCACTGAAATAAAGCTAAAGTAACATATAAATAATGTGACAGAGGCAATACAGAAATCTTCTCAATGCAGCAGTGTTAGGCATCTGGATGCCATCTCTGCTGAGTGGACCCCTTCCCTAGCAGCCTCTCAGCATCCTGCCTCACAGATCACACCAGACAGAGCTGCGGCCTCTGTCTCGTTCCAAACCCACTACAGTGGAGAAGCAGCAGTATAGATATAACTGGTGTAAAGAGACGCCATGAAAATCTGAAACTAGCTTCACTGTTTTGTTAACATGGGCTGCCTGCTTAGAGGGAGCAGGAGAGGGTGTATACGCAGGTTAACCTAACAACAGATGTAGGAAAGTTAGTGATAACCAGGCCACTTGCTACTGGAAGAGGTAAATATATGGAAAAAAAAAAAAAAAAAAAAACAGAACAAATTCTGTTGCACTGGATTAGTTTTGTGTGATGCACACATAATATACATATGTATATATTTACATTCAAACCTAACATAAATTTCTTAGTTTTGTCCACTGAGAAAATTTGTCACCACATTAATAGCAGTTAGCATATTCAGTACTCAGATCCACTTCTAAATGAATTCTACATTAAGAGGAACAAAGACTTCTTAGACGAATGGTTTATTTCAAGGCAGGTAAAAAATGTAAGATGAGGCTAGAAAAGCTTGTTGTATTGGACGAAATGTTCAATGAAGATGAAAACAGGTCAAAATGAATACAAAATCCAGATGGAATGGGCTCCCTCAGACCAAATCCCCCTAACAATATCAGCTTCAAAATAAATAACTATAGTAACTCTGGTGAAAACAGGAAACTTTGATATAAAATATCAATAAAAATATGAACAAATTGAAAGAACTGCTAGGAAGAGGCTACATATATAAAGAGGGTTTTCTCAAAAAATACTCTAAATTTACAATGGAGAAACTGAGTAGGAATAACCTCAGTGAAGATATCAAAGTGAACATTATGAAGAATTGAACAAATTGGTTTCTACTACCTGATAAGATACAATGAGAAATACCTCTCACAAAAGAGAAATCTCTACAAAACAACTTCACAACCTATCAAAATTTATCCAAGAAGAAACAGGAAAATTACATTATCTTAAATTTATTATAGAGACTAAATCTTTATTGTAAAATTTCTTCAGTAAAGATAAGTCTAGTCCCAAATAGTTTCATTGATAATTACCACTGTTGGAAGAAAAAAAATTGCCAATCATGCACAAAAATATCTCAAATGATATAAAAATGCTATATTACTTCTTAGTTTAAGAAGCCAGCATATACTTAGCATCAGGACCTGAAAACTTATATAATAATAATAATAATAATAATAATAATAACATAAATAATCCCCCCATGAACATAATGTGGGCTACACAGGCACTTAGTCGGGAGAAGGGGAAGGAGGCAGATAAGAGGTTTCAAGCAGTCTCTGCGTTAGGCCCGGGCCATTAAAAACTCCAAGCTTTTTAGTGGCTCAGTCGTTGCCTTGCTGGGCTATC